GACAGTGAGCACTTCATCAGTTCAGATCACTGGGCTGAGCCCTGGAAGCAATTACTCCCTGCAAGTTGTTGCCGTAGCTGCAGACAATGTTACTGAAGGGGCTCCAGTGTCCATCACAACATTTACAGGTGAGTGCAGTATCTCTGAAATCAAGAACTTTAATTCAGGTCCAATGCTCAATGATATTTTTGCAATCAATCAAGTAAGTCACATTAAGCAGTGCTTATAACACATTTGTTTATATCAAAGTGTTCCCACTCAGTTTTTCTCTGTGTCCCCCACGACCCCAAATTTTACAGTATGTAAAGGATGGATATATGGGAAGGAGAAAATACTTTGGGTTGAACTTACTGTTTTTATATTTCCCTTTTTTTCTCAGATTTAATTATGGTATATATATTTATATACTGTATATCATATTGTTGCCATCACAAATGGATCCAAATAGTCTCATCTTATATTTAGACTTTTCAAATTATGTTACTTAATGAATAAATATAACAGGTTATTTATCATAATCAACCTTCTTGTTTTTAATGTTGTGTTAATAAAACTATTTGAACATAGAGTGCCTTGCAAAATTATTCAGGTTCTTCCCGTGGTGTTTTGTGAACTTTCAAGATGATGCATACATATTTTAATATTTTAATATTTTGTTTATAACATCAGTATTGAAACTGAAATCGTCTAATGCTGTTCCCGATCTCAAAAATGTAAAATTCTTGATTGCTTAAATATTCAGACCCATGAACTCAATATTTGTTAAAAGCCCTTTGACAGCAATTACAGACGCAACTTGTTCTTGGTAAATCTGTATTGACTTTGCATACTGTTGTGGTGCAATTCTTTCCCATTCTTTTGATCATGCTTTGTCTTGTTGCTTGAGCAATTGTGAATCAACAGTTTTTAAGCCTTTCCACAGAATCTAAGATTAAAGTCAGTGACTGGGTTATACAATACTCTCACTTATTCTTATGCTACACTTACAGTATCTCCTGTCCTGTAGTTTGAATTAATATCCAAATGGATTACGTTTTGTCCCAGTTTTAGGTCTGAAATAGGCTTTCCTGTAGGTTTTTTCTAGAACTATGCTCCATCTATCTTTACACCACTATTGGCAAGCTTTTCACTCCGGAGAAGAAGCATTCCCTTCAAATGAACTCTGTAGCTGTTTCAAAATTGTTGTTGGCCTCCTAGTGGCATCTCTTAGCAGTTTCCTCATTGCCCAGGTGCTCAGTTTGGAGGGACATCTAGGCAGTAACCGCTGGAAAGCTGCAACTTCCATTTCTTGATGGTTAGACAGACTGCTCATATTCATAGACTTTTATATTCTTTCCACCATTCTCTTCCTCCATGCTTGTCAATGACTGTATCTGTGAGTCAGAAAGCTCCTGAGTTTTCATGGTTGAGTCTTAACTTGAAATCCACTGCCTGACCAAGGAACATCACAGAGGCAGGTGTTTTTAGTCTAAATTACTATAACCTCCACAACAACATCTCCAAGTACAACCACAGCAATTACAGAAGGAACAACAGCACCACCAGGTATAAAAAACTCAAGTCCATGACAGTCCATAGTTCTTATAGTTCCATATAATTTCAAAAGTGCACATTATTACAAACCAGATGTGGTTGTAATGTATTCTGATAAACTTAGAATGATTTCTAAATAATGAGTAAAAAATACAAATACAAATACATTTTCTGCTCCTGTGTGGGTTGATTTTAGCTTGCATGTGAACCATCGTTACTTGATTTTGAAGTACAGAAAAATACAATAAACAATAAAATCACACAATTGTGGTAGATGAAGTAAAAGAATGCAAGAAAGGAGGCTAATTAAACAAGCCTCCCTTCTAGACACACTTTATACACTAGCCAAGCAGTCTCAGCAAATAAATGTGACTAAGTAGTATTTAAAGCCTTTTTGTTCTCCTAACATCTACCAACTGGGGCGAAGGCAGTGGCAATTTATCTTCACAGTATGCTAAGATTATAACTGGCAAAAGAGGTCTAGTTAGACAAGGGTTCATGACAGTGAGGATTAATGATGCTCTAAGCAAACCTCAGAGCGGTTTGTCTTACATACAGTATGCTATTGTATTTTATTTTTTAATCACATCTTAAAAAACGTTTGGATTATTAAACCTTTCAATTTGTTTCCCCCCCCCCCCATTTTTTTTTCATGTTTACAGGATTTCCAGTGACAGCAAGACTACAGCTGTTAGTCCAGAGTTCTACCGAAATTAATAATAGTGAACAAGAAGTCTTCCTACAGGAGGTAGGTTCACAGTATTCAGATGTCCTCTTTGTTCATCACTGTGTTGTTGTACAGTCCTGCTTAAGAAGAACATAAGGAAGCTTAGAAACAAAAAGAGCATATTCAACACATCTGGATCATTTTGTTTGTAATAGACTATTGATCTCATGATCTTCTCGAGCAATTTTCTGAAAGACGAATGGGTATGAGTTCCAACAGAAAGGCTGGGCAGTTTATTATCCACACTCCCACAACCTTTTGTGAAAAGAGGTGCCCTCATTTTCAACACTTTTTTGTAGTTTCCAAATGTGCATTCTTATTCTGACCATTTTAATCCTTCTACAAATAGCATCATGTTTGTTTACCATTATTTTGATCATGTTGTCAGATCTGTCACAAGCAGAGCATAAGCAAATTAAAGCTAGGTTATAAATTTGCCCGCAAAACAGGATAGGAATATTGAGTGGAGTCATGTGTCTTTTCTGTGAGAAATATGGTGGATCAGAAAGGTTAGGCAGTACTTTAAAAAGAGAAGTAATTATAAAAGTTACAATACCTCAAAATACACAAAACACATCAAATAGTACAGTAGGTCCAGAGATCAAAAGATCAATCAAATCTTTATATACTTACTACATAAGGGAATTTAAAATTGCCTACAAATATACAAATATGAAAAGCTCCACTTCTTTTCCTAAAATCCTTTTAGTGTCAAATGTGAAACAACATCAAAACATCTTGTCCCTATTTGTCTCAAAGAATGGGTTCCCTAACACTCTTCTCAAGAGATTGCAGTATGTCCAGTACTCAGCAGCTAGACTAGACCTTGGCAGCATATCACTCCTAAACGTAACTCTACATTGGTTGCCAGTAAACTCACATATTCAATTTAAGATCTTGTTACTGACTTTCAAGGCTCTAAATAATTTTGCTCTATCATAAATCCCTGAACTCCACCATATTTATACTCCCTCCCATAGTCTTCGTTCAGTTGAGGCTAGTCCTTTGCTCACTTTACCAGGACTAAGTCACAGACGTTTGGTGACAGTGCCTTCTCTGTCAATGCTTCAGTGTTATGGAATGACTCAGATTCTTTTAATTCAAATGATTTGACTCTCTTCAATTTCAAGCTCTTAAGTTAACTTTATACCAGGCCCTATGTCTGATTGCCCCAAATCCATCTGTATAAACCTGTATTCTCCTGTTAATTTTTTCTTGTACTTTTTATTGTACTTTTTTCTTTATCGCTATTTACAGCTTCCTTGGGTTTAGAAAGGTGCTTTATGAATTAAAAGCAACTTTTAAGGTCATAATTATCCTGAACTAGCTTCTATTATTACTTCATTTTAAAAGGCTTCTTACACACATTTCTAGCTTTTAATGTCATTGCCTGGACTGGATTATTTTTATTTCGCTTTTCACAAAAAAAGTTAATAGCTAGGTTATTCACATTTTATATTATAAAAACGTTATGTTAATAATGAATAGAATGAATAGAATGTTATATAAAAATGACAGTTATGTCACAAAACAAACAATTGTTTTCACATAAAAACAGAATATTTCCATTTCCAATAAGCACACCTTTTAAGTTGAATACATTGATTTAAATTAAAACAGCTTCATGAAAGTCCACTAACATATGTCATTAAACATTTTTTGCAGCTTAACACGATCATTCAGAAATACATGGAGGGCATGAAGTTTAGCATAACTGTCAAAGGAATAAGAAGAAAGAATAATTAAGATCACAACGTAAAACATTCTAATGGAGGAAATGCAAGGTATTTCAGCCAATTTTAATGTGCAGAAAGTAATATGGTAAGCTAAAGCATATAATATTTATTTATTTATCTCTTATCTCTTAAAAATCTGGTTTCAGAATTTTTATGTTGCTGCTGATGGACAGAATAATTAAATATTTTTATTTACAATTTTCATGCATAATGGACAACGTAGTATAGTTCAATATAGTCTGTCTGTCTGGTTCTGTTCTTGATTTTCTGGTGTAGTATTTCATGTTCCTGCACAAACCCTTGTCATTATTGATTATTGCACACCAGGCCCATACAGTATACTGTATCTCACATATTGTGTTTGTTCGAAACAATGTCACTCTTGCATTTTTCTAATACAACATTATAATTCTAGATGTAAACAGCTATTCAAAGATAGGAGGAGGTAGCTTGTCAAGTTGGCATTCTACATAAGTATTGTTTGTTCTCATTGTCACAGTCATTCTTCTCCACACAACCTGTAATTCTGCTTTTTTTCTGTCCTGTTTCTAAAACACAGATTGTTCAGAACAGCTTGCAAAATGTGCTTGAACATCACAGCCAACTTATTTTTTCTAATTTGAATATTTGTTTAGTTGTGAAATCCTCATAACATTTAAATAAGGGTTAAATATCTATTTTAAAATGGATTTATGCATTTATGTTTTAACTGCACGGATTGTTAGGTTTAGGTATGTATTTAGGTTTTATTTTTCCTTGATTTGTCATCTATCCCCACTAGTGATGTAAATTAGCCTTTAGATAAGATATGTGTAGGATCATGGCATTTTATTTCACTTAGAGTTAATTCTTAATTTCCAATAATGTTTTTGTTGCCTTTGCCAAGCAGCAAGATGCCTCTGTTGAAGTGCAGAGGAATGTGGTTTTAGGCTTCTCTGATAAGAGACACTATGAAGCTGTTTGCAATCTGAACCGTCTGATGATATACAGTATAAGACAGATGGGCTCCATTGAGTCTGTAGTTTCTTGCCAAGACCATGGGTCCAAGGTCACTTTTCATCACCCAAAGGAAGATCCATCACTGGGGGAGCTGCAGAGTAGGTGACAGGACTATACTTGGTAGCATCTCAACTACTTACCAACTGTGATATCATACCTCAAAAACTGGCACCCAATGCATTCTTCGTTGCTGAACTGGCTCCTCATTTCTCTCCAACTAAACTAGCAAGAGAATGAGTAAAGTACAGAATTCTGCCCAAAGTATTCTTCCTGAAACAGAAGAAATCTTGTGTCTGTGAACCCACTGTTATTTTCTCCTGATCAAAGAAATAAGACATTTGAACTCTTTTATGTCAACATCCTGAATGTCTGAGCATATTCAGCACCAATCAATAGCAGGGACGAACTGAGTTCTCAGTTCCTCAAAACCTGTCTACCTTGCAGCTAGACCCAAGAAGGCTGCTGTGTGCAGACTATTATTTCTCATTATATTAGACTGATAAAACCTGGAAGGTAGGCCATATCATATGTTATAGTCGATGTGTTTTAACTCTGAAGTTATTAACTCTTTGTTATCCATGGGTGAACAATCAGACAGCTGTATCACAGCAGGTTGTTTCACAGATGTATTATATTACATTAGCTGTTCTTATACATGTATCTGGTTTAAAGCAATAAATTGTATTTTGTATATTTAGAATCTGTTTGTGAGACTGTAAATTATTATGTTTGATTCCTAAAAGTCTTCAAGTACTCCTGCAATTTGCTGTTACAACTTCTGATTGCTACAGTAAATTAAAACCCTCACATTAATACACATGTTTTTGCAATGCATCTTATACCATGCTCTGTATTTGTACTATATCAATGTCAGACCTGTCCAAACTAAATAAATAAACCAACGCAACAAATAACATTCTGTATTGTCCTTGGTCTGAATCTGCTTTCCCTGCCTGTCATAGCCTTTTTTCTTCAGATGTGTGATATAAATATTCAAACTCTACTGAACAAGGAAGAACACAAATTGAATACCTTTATTCCACCATTAAAATAATATTTTAGAAAATGTGTCATTATCCACATGCTGAATCCCAAAGATACTGTTAATTACTCATAGTATTGAAGAACAACATTTGGTTTCTATTTCTACAGAGCTCTACAAATCAGTTACAGACATCTCTGGTATAAAGGACCAGATTGCAAGTCGTCAAAAATAGAGAAATTTAAAGGGGAGATATTCAAACATAAACTTCACCTAATTTAAACCTTGGAACATTTTAGTTTAGTCTGTCTGCATGTTTACTTGCACATTGTCTATTGTTTGTTTGTACATTGTCTTGATGCACTGTTTGCACTTTGTTTTGTTTTTTACACTTGTTTTACAAACGAGAGACTTTCTGTAAGTAAGAATTCCATTGTACCAGTACCGGTTACATATGGCAATAAAGTTCAAGTTCAAGTTCAAGTTTATTGTATTATCCATTTCATGCCCAAAAAACTCCATAATCTCCGTATCTCCATAATTCCACCCAGCCAATCTCAGTGCAGAATATTGCCACCTAGTGACGGATAAGAGACAGCCCTGCTGGTGCGTCAACACAGAATTCTTGCTTCATCCCTGGGAATAATATGCCTCACTGCCATCAGTGCTGTCAAGTATATATGTTTGCATGGATCAGAACTTTTTTTACTTTTTCTGAGATTGAGTGTGGCATTTCAGAATTGTTTTGAAGCATACATATACTGTACAATGACCTAATCCAGTCTTGACTGCAGATAGGACGTTTGGTTTTTTTTTGCTGCAGATTCTCTCTTTAAGTTGTAGAGTGGCATAAGTAACCTGATGATGGAATGCCAGTATTGTGTGAATAGGACCCAGAATATAAATAAATGCTCACTTCCAGAAAGGCATGTTTTAACAAATACTGCCCACAAGGTCTGTATAAACATGTATGAAATTATGTTTGACATACAGTACAGTGAACTGGTTACCAATTTAAAAATATAAGTTTGTAAAAAGTATAAATGTATGCAGTGAAATACAAAACTGACAAAAGGTTATCTTAGACCAAAAAGGTGTTTATTGTGGAGCTATAGCTCTCTCTACGTATGGAATCACCCAGCTGGTGCCATCAGATTTCAATATACAGCAGATAGCTGCATATCAGTACTGCCTAATATACAAAGTAGGCAAATATGAATGATTATCACATGTTCAATGCAAATTATTCATTTCAAATTCTTTGGGACAAAATAGTTGACTCATCATATATCTCTTAATCTTGGATCATTCTTTTATCTTGTCTCTGTCCAGAGATGAAGACTGTTCCTAAAGTGTATTATTATTATTAATAAATATATTTATTTCTAACTACGTTAGAAATAACTTAAGCATGTTAATAATAGCACAATCATCTGTAGAGGCAAAGTGCTGATTTTTTTTTATATGGGCAGCAGCATAAGCTGATCTGCTTTGTTCTGTTCAAAGTCCTGTCCTTTGATATGCATCAGACATTGATCTGCTATATCCTGTTTATGGTATGTCTGTGGGTGCTGGTCCTGTTTATTGTTATGTATTGTAATTTGCTGGAGGTGCTATACTGTAGCAAGTCAGCTTTGTTTTATCTTAGAATAACTTTGGGTGAAGGCTAAATGAACAGATCCCAGCAATACCTTCCACAATGTGGTTAAATAGTAATACTGCAATGCTGGGTATATGCAATATTTACATGTCCCACTTCATCAGGCAAGGCTGGTAACTCCTCCTTCTGGTGACGCCCACTAACCTGGAGGTGTCAGTGAAACACACACCCTTCAGCCAGTTCAGATCCATCCTTAGACCAAAGTGTCCAAGGTGATGATGTCTTCCAGAAGGGATGCTGTTACATTATTTTATTTCATTTTACTTGTTTTTGAGCTTTGTTTGTTTTCTGGACAAAAAATAGGTAAGGTGTGATTGTAAGATTTTTATAACTGAAAGGGATGACACCTATTAAAACAGATAATGACGCATAAAATGCATATTGTTATGACAGGTTGGATATTTAATGTAAATATATGTGAAACTGTCAGAAACAACTGCTCATTATTACTGATTTTTGCCTGTTCATTCTCAGCTCAAATAAATTATCTAAATGCTGAGGAATAAAATACGATTGAAATATACAATATATACGGTATAAAGTACTAATTTTGTGTTCTGTATTATGTTGAAGACATTTGATAATAACAATATATAACACATTCAGGTAATGTTTTGTAGAAATTCTTTTTTAAAGCTGTTTTGAAATATTTAAGTTGAAAAATGGTAGTTTAGTAAATGTATCTCTTTTTTTAAACTTTTTTATTTTACGATGAAGGGATGTACACATACAACATATACAAAGTAAAATAATTTACTGCTTCCATCTTTGATTTTTCAGTTCTATTATGTTTAAATATAATTAACTACATACATTATGCCAGCATGAATGGGAGGTTACTGTACATTTAAAAATATGATCAGCAAAAATACAACAAATAACCAACAATCTAGACAAAACACTGCTTCATCTTCTTTCACAGACAAAATCAAGTCTTAATGCCACAAACCCAATCAAGGCAATGCCAGTATTTGCCAAGCTGTTTCACTTGTAACCTAAGAGAAAAGGTGATCTTTTCAGCTATGTAAATCGCCTTCACAACATTGATCCACTGTTCTGCTGTTGGGGTTTTTCAGTAAACCATTTCCTCCTTTTTTTTGCCAGCAGCTTAAAGAATTCCTAGTATATCTTGTCCAGAATATGTGTGAATGAGCTGCTATTGTTCTCCACATAACCTCCAGCATTGTGAACTACTTCTTTTTTGTTTTACTTAAATTTTAGGACTGATAAAAAACAAGTCAAAATTGTCTAACAGAAATGTCTCCAAACTTGTGAACTGGTGGAGCTTTCTTGAAATCTGCATATGTTGTTCCACTGTTCTGCAGAAATTGTTTTATTGTTTTGTTTTTCCATATTTATTTTTAGATATTTTGTTGAATCTCTTTTCATATCTTCAATGTTATTATACAGTTTTGATATTATTTTCTTCTGGTTGCTTTGCTGGTATAAAGCTATACAATTGTCAGGGAATTTATTAACTTGCTCTGTATTTGGTTGTTTTACCTAGCTATTTACAATACATAATGCCTAATTTGGAGGTATCTGTAGAAGTCTTTTTTTCCATTTTATATTGTTGTGATAAATCTTCAAAGGTTTTCAAGTGATTCTGTTTCATCACGGTACATATTATATGGCAGTGATCCCTCTTATAGTCCAGAGTTTCAATCATGTATCAGTTCAATCATATTATTTTGGTTTCAACATTTAAAATACACACAGGAGTACCATCTGTGGGAGAACTGAAGTCTGAACACATATGAAAGAAAAAGGCGACAAGAAAAGTTCGTTCGAAAAGAGTTGAAGGCAGACGGTAGAATGCACAGTAGGTGGCGTATGCTGTCCAGGCAGAAGAGTAGGTTGCATGGACAGATGGAGATAAAGCTGCAAACATCTAGGAACAAGCTCATTAAAGCTGGATGGAGAGAGCTGATTCTAGACGAACAGAAGATTGTGGAACTCTGGAACTTGAAGAGGTCACTTTAATGAATGGAAACATCAGCAATATAGTGCATTTAATAGTCCAATTCCTGGTGGCCGAGAGGATAGACAGGACAGATACTATCTCTGAAAATAGAGAAAGCCAATTAAATTGACGTCTTTACCTTTGAGATTCTGGGACGAGAGTATGACGATGGCTTGTAGCTGAAGCCTGAGAGCACGAGGCAGTACAGTAGCTGTGCTGAGGGTGAAATCTGACACAGGGGCAGATAGAGGGAGACTGGAGACTGAAGCAGGAGAGGAAGTTTAATGGAAGGAGATTTCAAGCTTAAGCAGACGGGAATGAATGTCAGTTACAGAACGAGAAAGGGGTTCGAGGATCTGAGAAACCTGCTGAGACATTTGATGAAAATGCTAACAACTAGACAGCTTGGTATATTCAGGACCCCAGGGTTCCCCTCATGCAGCCCTATCCTGATTTTGTCCCATAGTGTCCTGCCCTTGCACTTTAGTTTTCCTTTTCTGTCCTCTTACCTACTGCCCCTCCAGCTTCCCTTTGGGGTGGCATTCTCTTCTTGAACAGAGCTCTTATCTTCCTCACTGTTTTCTCCTGGGCTTTCAGGGTAACTTTTCTTTCTTTTTTCAGTCTCCTTCCTGCCTCCCAAGGAGCCTTCTGTGTGCTCTGTATGGAGAGCTTTTCTCTGTAAGCCTGGCCTGGAGGATTCCGACTGGGACTGCACCTTGCAGGTGTGCTGACCCAGGCCTCTGAGAGCCGCAAGGGAATTTAGGACACATGCTTTGCCTGCTATCCATCGCAGATGTCTCCCCCAGTTGGTCCAGAGGATGCCTGGATATCCGATTCTGTTTGAACCCTGGCGCCTGTCAGAGAGTGGAACCTGGGAGACCAAGCTGACAGCCCATAAGTGTCACAGACGTCCAAAGGGACTAACCGTGGGGAGTAGGAGAGCGAAAAAAGACCCATATGCGTAGCGGCAAGACGGGAAAAAGGCCCGGGCTAATTAGTGCAAAGAGTTCGGGAATGTCGTATAAAACCTTTGCCCTCAGGGAGCGGACGTGGGGCGCCCTGGTGCTAGGCGGGTCTCAGGACATCCGAACGTCTGAACGTCAATGCTGAGCGAGGACAGAGTGCAAGACCCGGAAATATATAGCCCAAGGGACAGGAAGAACAGCAGACCGGAAACTAGGGACAGGACAGAGAAGGAGCGCCCTCTGGCTGCAGAGGGCGTGACAATAAGGGCATACACCTTGAATCACCAGTTCCTGGGCACTCTGGCTGGACCACTGTGTGGGGGTTGCCAGCCTCATCGACTTTGGTGTTAAGCATCCGGGGCATGGCACAGCTGTGCTCTGAGGGGACTCCTTTTTCCTTTTCCTGTCCAGTGTATCGGCCAGTGAGCTTACTGGCCTGCACCCCTGGCTACATGGAGGGCTGCCTTCCAGATCTGTGTGGCCCTCTTTCATTCTAGGAGCTCAGTGGCTGGTTCTGTCCCATTGCCGGGGGTCCCAGATTCAAGTTGGCAGGCTGGGATGAACAGTCTAACTTGGGGCTGGCACTTTGCCATGCCAGCCTCTCTCTGTGCAGCAGAGAGCCAGCATCTCAAAGACCGTTGAGCTTCACTTGGTTTCTTTTCTTGCTGTCGAGCTGGGGCCAGTTCTGTTTTACTTTTTTCCATTTTCTGTTCCATTACTGTCTGGGATGAGCTGATTAAGCCCCGCCGGCCAGTAATCAAGTTTTGTATTCTCACTTTTCCATTTCCAGTTCACCTTCACTTTCCCTCTGTCCTAGAGTAATCGAGGCCTCAATAAGTCACGTCTCCTCGGGTGTTCCTCCAATCTCCGGTTTCTTGTACTTGGGTTCTCGGACATCACCACCCACGTGGCTGTAACCGGCTGCGGCATTACAATGTCCTCAGAATATTGAAACATGAGACTTCAGTATACTGATGGGTTCAACCAATAATGATGCTCACATTGAGCTGTATGACTCACAAGTAACACACCTGAGCCTGGATCTTATCACTAGCTCACTGTGACTCGGATTCCCCAAGTGACAGCGCACAGTTGGCAGAAAGTCATCTCAGGAATCATTGTGATTAGCCACCCAGCACTCGCTCAGCTCTCAATGGAACAGCAGCTCCTGTGTCTGGCTGGTTGCCTGCAGCCTTGCAGTCAGATCATTGCACTGATCTGCCAGTTGTCTCTGATGGGTGGCTTGTTTGTCCTCTGTTCATTCCCTCTGGACAGATGTTGTAAAGGACACATGAAGAAATAATTTCCAATCCCAGATTGATTATAAAAAGTAAAACTTAAAACAAAAATGAAAAAAAATAACTAATTTCATTCAGATTAAGAGTATCAGTGGAGAGCACCTGCAAAACAACATTTCACTGTCTTGAAAAGGAACTAGAAGAAAGCTTTGCCTGTCTTAATAGCTTCCTCAAATTATTTTTTTTCAGGAGGTCCCGATGAAATTAAATTAAATTCAGGTTGAATCAGTGACTTTCATTTGTTGTGTGAAATAAATACAGTATTTGTTCCAGCAAACAAAAGGAAGCCTTCAAATAATTCCATTCATCCATTGCTAATACTTTCCAGACTGTTATGTACCACGTCCCAGGAACTGAGACTCTAGATCCCTTTTCCTTGTGTGTTATTGTGTCCTGTATTCGACACACTTATTCACATTAAAATAAATCCCTTTTGCACCAAACTTGTTGTCCTGCTTCCTAAATCCCTCACCAGAAACCCACCTGCGTCCAAAACCATCCTAAATGTTACACCCTTTTACCCCTAGACACTTGGGGTCGTAACCAAACATTTATTATTCCCTGCATGGTGATATGTTTTTTTTAATTAGTAATTGTTCATTTGTGTGGTACAATACTCCCACATTGTTCGAGCTTCTGCATCATTACTGAAATTAGGCACAAAGATTGCTTGTACTTTATTCTTATTGTTTATTCTTGTAGTTTATTCTTTTCCTTTAAGCATGGAATAAACCTTTACCTCTTCCTTTGTAATAAAACTAGTGCTTTCTCCTTGCATAGTCTTACCATTTTATTCATTTCACTGGATATGTCTAAAAGGTCAAGATGTTTGCCAGCCAAACATAAGATTTTTTGTTAGTAAGCAAAGCAATTTCTTCCATCTTCCTTGGCATGAGATCTATGGAAAGGTTTTGAACATGGGAAAGCCTTGGAATAATCATCTCACACTGTAACCATGACTTGGGAATCAAGCTCTTTGTCCACTACTCCCAGACTGTGACAAAACCTCTGGAGATTGTTGATTTGGAATGATTACAGTAAGTGAATGTTACCAATGTATTCAAGACAGTTCAAAGACCTGGTTCAATTTCCTTAGGAGCACATACAACAGTGCAAAAGGCAGTGTTATAATAATAATAATAAACTTCATTTTATATAGCACCTTTAAAGGTGGCTTGTCAAAGTGCTTTACAGAATGTCAACAAGAATAAATAAAAAGAATACATAAGATAAAACAATTACAATATACGGAGGAGACTGAGGATGGTGGTACTAAGAAAAGCAGAGGGGTAAAGAACGGAACCAGTTAAGTAAAGGCTTTTCTAAAGAAAAAGGTTTTGAGTCTGGATTTTAATGAGTTTAGAAATGGTGACTCTCCGATATCCTTGGGCAGAGAGTTCCAGAGCTTGAGGGCATAACAGGAGAAGGCCCTGTCACCCATACAATGTAGATGGGCTTGGGGAACAGTAAAGAGACCAGAATTTGAAGAGCGAAGGTTGCAAGGTGGGGAGTAGGGCAATAATAGTTCAACAGGTATTGAGGTGCCAAGCCATGCAGAGCCTTATAAGTGAGCATGAGGATTTTAAAGCCCACACGGAATTTGACAGGAAGACAGTGCAAGGACTCCAGGATAGGAGTAATGTGAACACTTGCACTAGACCTGGTCAGGATTCTGGCTGCTAAACTTTGGACATACTGCAGTTTGTTCAAAGTAGATTTAGATACTCCAGCAAGTAGAGCATTACAGTAGTCAATTTGAGAGAACACAAATGTGTTGATCAGCTTTTCAGACAGTTAGTGATAGCATAGGGCATAGTCGAGCAATATTTCTGAGGTGAAAAAAATATGTTTTGACAATATGCTACACATGTGGGTCGAATGTTAATCCAGAATCGAATATCACTTAGTCTGAAGCTCAAGTACAGAAACATCTACAGATAGGGTTACAGGATTGGCTTTACGAAGTTGATGGGGGGTGCAAATAAGCATGACTTCAGTCTTGTCACAGTTAGGAAGAAGGAAATTTTGAGTCATTCAAGTTTTTATGTCAGAGATGTAATTAGATAGAATAGACAGCCACATCAGTGTCAAGTTTGGTTTGGATGTATTTTTGAGTATCATCAGCATAGAAATGATAGCTGAGGCCATGTGATCTTAAAAGCTGACCAAGTGGAAACATGTAAATGCTGAAGAGCAAGGGCCCCAGTATTGAGCCCTGAGGAACACCAGACTTAACAAGACCAATTTCAGACCTATGCCCATTATGAGAGACAAACTGACAGCGATCAGTGAGGTAAGACTTGAACCATTTGAGAACAGTGTCAGAAACTCCAAACACAGTCTCAAGACGAGAAAGTAGGATGTCATGGTCAACAGTGTCAGAAGCAGGACTGAGATCAAGAAGGATGAGTATAGAATGAGAACCAGAATCAGAAGCTATTAGAAGTTAGTTAGTGACTTTGACCAGGGCAGTTTCCATGCTGTGAAGTTGATGGAAGCCAGATTGGAGGGGTTCAAAAATGTTATTTGTCAGGATGCGGTTATGTAACTGAAATGTTAATGTTGTTATTGAAGTGTTGTTCAAATAGTGTGAAGGACCACATTAGTGCAGACCCTAATCCAACTGGTTCAGTTGTTTTCTGCTGAAATCATATAATAGTTTGTAAATGTCACCTGACTTTGCTGCTTTGCATAATTTGTATTTCCTTCCTTGTTCCTGTGTTTCCTTATTCCCCACATACCAAACATTGAGAAGCCAAAGGGTTTTTTCTTTTTCAAAATTTCTATCTAGCAAACTCATTGCTGTCCCGCCAATCAATACATTAAGAAACTGTGAACTCAGTGATTTAGAATAAGCTGGTGAAAATCGAAAATAAATGCAATCATATACAGTTTACAACAAGAACTTCAACATCACTGTATCAGTGCCAGTGTAACACAAAATATTACGTTTCAAAAAGTAAAATGAAGTATTTTTCAAGAGTAAATTCTATTAAATACAAGGACATTTTATCAATCCCTTTTTCTGAATTCTGTTATTACATTATGCAATGTTTATTACTTGTAATTAATTCAGATGACTCTTGTATTGTTTGCAACTACATCTTTTGTTCTAGCAAGTTTAATCTGCTTTGCACGTTACTCATGTAATTGTTACAAACCATTGTTCTTTTTTCTAGGGCGTTGTGCTGGGCATTTCTGTTGTCCAGGCAGGAACGTTTCATGCTATGTTGAAGACTGCTACTGTGACCAAGCATGCACTATACCTTTAGACTGTTGTGATGATTATTTTGCTGTATGCGAACAAGGTAACTTTATTATTATTACATTATTCTAATATAATATTTACCACTATTATTGCACACAGAGGAAACTCAACTAATTGTGTGACTCGTTAATTTAATTTTGTCATTTAACTTAATTTATTTTTTTATCATTGATTAATCATTGGTTATTTAAAATCAATTAATAACCAAAATTATCACCTAAACAATACGTGTGAAACTATGCTATGCATTCCTTAACAATCTGATTGTATGGCAATTGTTTTTATGTAAACTTGCTGCTTGAAAACATATTCATCACGTTTCCAAATAAGCATATCTTTTTCTCGTAGCAACCTCAACTACGACAGAAGGATCAAGTACTTCTCTTCCCAGAACCCAAACTACTATAATTTCTACAACCACAACACAAACATCACCCCCTTCAACTACAACAATACCAGAACGTACAACAACAACTCCATCTTTTCCTGCAACCACAACAACAACATCTCCTCCTACAACAACACCTACACTTCCCTCCATTACTACACCTCCCTCCACAACAACAACTACACCTCTCTCCACAACCTCATCATCCCCAACAACCACAGCTACTACTTCTCCTACAACCTCATCATCCCCCACAACCACAACTCCCCTCACAACTACAACTAACCCCACAACCACAACTACACCTCCCTCCACAACCTCACCACCCCTCACAATCACAACTACACCTCCTCCTACAACCACATCTCCCCTCACAACTACAACTAACCCCACAACCACAACTACACCTCCCTCCACAACCTCATCATC